AAATCACCCCCCAGGGGGGAAGGTCACACTGCAATCCCTTCTCCTCTATTCTCCTCTCAGGATCTTGGGCACACACGCACACGCGCCTGGCGTGAGTTTTAAGCCACTGGGTCCAAAACTCGAACTGCGGTCAACTACGTGGGAGTCCAGCGACATAGCCATTACGCTAACTGCTGGTCCCCCTCTAGTTTAAAAAAAAAAAAAAATCAGTGAGTTAAATGGATTAGATACAGTTGATATGAAATTAATGAACTGGAAAATATCGATAGATCTGAATAAATGATCCAGAATGCAGATTATTGATTTAAAGATATAGAAAACAGGGACCAGCAGTTAGTCTAATGGCTATGTCGCTGGACTCCCATGTAGTCAACCACAGTTCAAGTCCCAGACCCAGTGGCTTAAAACTCACGCCAGGCGCGTGTGCGTGTGTGCCCAAGATCCTGAGAGGAGAATAGAGGAGAAGGGATTGCAGTGTGACCTTCCCCCCTGGGGGGTGATTTCCTGCTTTCTGTCTTTCTGTCTCTCTCTGTCTGTCTGGCGAGCGCATGCGCCCTATAGCAAAAACCTCTTTAAAAAAAAAAAAAAGAAAGAAAATAAATAAATATATAGAAAACACAAAACAAAGGTAAACAGGCATGAAGGATAGTAGAGATAAAAAGTAAGATTGGATAAAAGGAGCAGTTGAAGAAATAACAGCTGAGATTTTCCCAGCAGTGTGGCAGGATACTAATATTCTAATTCAGGAAACCCGACGGTCCCACACAGATTAATAAACAGAAATATACACTGAGACCTACTGTTCTGAAATCATAGGACACCAAGAAAAAGACATAAAAACAGAAAGAAAAGATAAAATATCTAAGAAGAAAAGTAATGAGACTGACAGGCGGGCTCTCACAGCAGCGGTCATGCCAGAAGACGGCAGTATAGGACCTCAGTGAGTTCAGAGTGGGGGGAAATTGCTATTCTAAAATACTCTTCTCAGCAAAATTATATATATATATGTATATATAAATTTTTTAAGAGTTTTTTTTTCTTTTTTTTTTTGTTTTGTTTTGTTTTTTGCTATAGGGCACATGCGCTCACCAGAAAGACAGAGAGAGACAGA